ATTTTACTGAGACAAACCAAAGCCAGGAAGGATTAGGTGACTTGCTCAAGGCCACAAAGCTAGTTATGGCACTGCCCTAATCACAAGGAGACCCAGACATTAGAGCTAAATATCCCACCTCCACCTCTTACTGATGGTTGTTTAATAATTAATAATGATAGCTAGCAACTACTGCGCTTCTGTTGGATACCAAGCAGACACTAAAAATCTCCACATTAATCCCATATTGCAATGGAGAAAACTAAGATCAGAGAGGAAAGTAACATGTCTGTCATGTTACTGTCACACACCAAAGCCCAAACTCTGGTCCCATAACATATTAGTCTATTTTCACACTGCTGACAAAGACATACCTGAGACTGGGAAGAAAGAGGTTTAATTGAACTTACAGTTCCACATGGCTAGGGAGGCCTCAGAATCATGGTGGGAGGTGAAAGACACTTCTTACATGGCGGCAGCAAGAGAAAAGTGAAGAAGCAAAAGCAGAAACCCCTGAGAAACCTATCACATCTCGTGAGACTTATTCACTATCATGAGAATAGCATGGGAAAGACCAGCCCCCATAATTCAATTACACCACCCACGCCTGCCCCCCACCCTCTCACACAGCATGTGGGAATTCTGGGACATGCAATTCAAGTTGAGATTTGGGTGGGGACAGAGAGAAACCATATCATTCTGCCCCTGGCCCCTGCAAATCACATGTCCTCACATTTCAAAACTAATCATGCCTTCCCATCAAAAGCAAGCTAGTTACTTCCTAGATACAATGAGGGTACAGGTATTGGGTAAATACAGCCATACCAAATGGGAGAAATTCGCCAAAACAAAGGGGCTACGGGCCCTATGCATGTCCGAAATCCAGCCAGGCAGTCAAATTTTAAAGCTCCAAAATTATCTCCTTTGACTCCAGGTCTCACATCCAGGTCATGCTGATGCAAAAGGTGGGTTCCCATGGTCTTGAGCAGCTTCACCCCTATGTCTTCGCAGGGTACCGCCTCCATCTCAGCTGCTTTCATGGGCTGGCATTGTGTCTGTGGCTTCTCCAGGTGCACAGTGCAAGCTGTCGGTGGATCTACCTACCACTCTGGGGTCTGGAGGACAGTGACCCTCTTCTCACAATTCCACTAGGTGGTGCCCCGGCTGGGACTCTGAGTGGGGACTCCCACCCCCCATTTCCCTTCCACAATGCCCTTGCAGAGGTTCTCCATGAGAGCTCCACCCCTGCAGTAAACTTCTGCCTGGGCATCCACGTGTTTCCATACATCTTTTGAAATCTAGACAGGTTCCGAAACCTCAATTCTTGACTTTTGTGAACCCACAGGCTCAACACCACATGGAAGCTGCCAAGACTTGGGGCTTCCACCCTCTGAAGCCACAGCCCAAGCTCTACATCAGCCCCTTTCAGCCACAGTTGGAGCAGCTAGGACACAGGGTACCAAGTCCCCAGGCTGCACACCGCATGGGGACCCTGGGCCTGGCCCACTAAGCCACTTTTCCCTCCTGGGCTTCCAGGCATATAATGGGAGAGAGTGCTATAAAGGTCTCTGACATGGGCTGGAGACATTTTCCCCACAGTCTTGGGAGTTAACATTAGACTCCTTGCTACTTATGCAAATTTCTGCAGGTCACTTGCATTTCCCTTAAAAAATGGGTTTTTCTTTTCTACTGCAGTGTCAGGCTGCAAATTTTCTGAACTTTTATGCTGTTCCCCTTTTAAAATTGAATGCCTTTAACAGCACCCAAGTCACCTCTTAAATGCTTTGCTGCTTAGAAATTTCTTCTACTGGATATGCTGAATCATCTCTCTCAAGTTCAAAGTTCCACAAATCTCTTTGCTAAAACATAACAAAAGTCACCTTTGCTCTAGTTCCCAACAAGTTCCTCATCTCCATCTGAGACCACCTCAGCCTGGGCCTTATTGTTCATATCACTTTCAGCATTTTTGTCAAAGCCATTCAACAAGTCTGTAGGAGGTTCCAAACTTTCCCACTTTTTCCTATCTTCTTTTGAGCCCTCAAACTGTTCCAACCTCTGCTGGTTACCCAGTTTGAAAGTCACTTCCACATTTTCAGGTATCTTCTCAGCAGCACCCCACTTTACTGGTACCAATTTACCATATTAGTCCATTTTCATGCTGCTGGTAAAGACATACCCGAGACTGGAAAGAAAAAGAGGTTTACTTGACTTACAGTTCCACATGGCTGGGGAGGCCTCAGAATCAAGGCAGGAGGTGAAAGACACTTCTTACATGGCAGCAGCAAGAAAAAAATGAGGGAGAAGCAAAAGCAGAAACCCCTGATAAACCCATCAGATCTCATGAGACATATTTACTATCACGAGAATAGCATGGGAAAGACCGGCCCCCATAATTCAATTACCTTTCCCTAGGCCCCTCACACAATGTGGAATTCTGGGAGATATAATTCAAGTTGAGATTTTGGTGGGGACACAGCCACAACATATCACATTGGTGATCTTCCCCCATCCCATGCTTCAGCTGTCTCATGCCTCACATGGATGGACTCATCCATTCCTCATCCAAATCCTATGATGCTGGTGCTACCTGCAGCCCCATTATACAGGCGAAAAAACTCAAGCCTAGTGACCTCCCCAGCTCTCAAAGGCAGCAAGTAACAAACCTTATCCATAAGTCAGGATGGCAATTTGACCCAGCAATTATACTCTTGGGCATTTAGAGAAATGAAAATACATGTTCACACAAAAACCTGTACACAAATGTTTACAACATCTTTATTTGTAATAGCTAAAGACTGGGAGCAACACAAATGTCCTCTGAACTATGAGTAAATGGTCCAACGTAATCTGTAGTCAAACAAATGGTTAAGCTGTGGTACGTGCATATAATGAAGTAAGGGCAAAAAGGAATGCACTATTGATAATACACATAACACTGGATAAAACTCCAGGAAATTATACTTGATGAAAAAAACCAACTCCAAAAGGTTACATACTGTATGATTCCATCAACGTAACATTTTTGAAATGACAAAATTCTAGAAATGGAGAACAGACAGTGCTCCAGGGACTGGGGACAGGGGAGAGTATGATAGGGGGAGGTGGCGGGGCTATAAAGACAGAATGAGGGATCCTTGTGAGGAACTGTTCAGTCCCTTGACTGTGGTGGGTGATACATAAGCCTATATGTGAGAAAACTGTACAGAACTGCATCCATGCTCTCATGCATGTGCACACACACAGTACAAATAAAATGAGGAAACTCTGAGCTGTGACCTCTATCAATATATACTGCTGTGATAAGGTACTATTGTTTTGCAAAATGTTACCAGTGGGAGAAACTGGATAAAGGGTATGTATGCAGGATCTCCCTTTATTACTCCTTTTTGGTTTATTTTTTAGACAAGGTCTGGCTCTGTCGCCCAGGCCATAGTAGTGTTGCAATCTCGGCTCACTGAAGTCTCTACCTTCCAGGCTCAAGTGATCCTCCCCACCTCAGCCTCCCAAGTAGCTAGGACCACAGGTGTGCACTACCACGCCCTGCTAAATTTTGCATTTTTTTTGTAGAGACTGGGTTTCCCTTTGTTGCCCAGGCTTATCCTGGGCTCAAGAGATCTGCCTGCCTCAGCCTCCCAAAGTGTTGGAATTACAGGCGTGAGCCACCATGCCTGGCCCCTGTATTAATTTTTAAACTGCATGTAAATACGCAATTATCTCAATAAGAATTACAAGTTAAAAAAAATCTCGCCTGCCCAAAAGCTGGGTTAGGTAACCTTCTGTATTTCTTTCATCTCTTAAGACCTGCAAAATTTCCAATGCCTCCAAAGCCAGTCTTCTTTCCACCAGGCCACACAACAGCTTCAAAAGCCAAAGCAAAATTAACGCTTGGCAAAGGGAAACTAAGAAAATAAGCCATGATTTCATAGAATTCGGCATCGCTAGTCATTTTACGTTTCCTCTGAAAATTACTCCAATTTGCTTTTATTTCATTAAACTGACTTCTGGCCAAAAAAATGGAAAATCTGATCCTATAAAACGTTCTTGCTCACCAAATAATCTCTCCCCATCTCTATGTGTCACCTCCAACAAGAAGTAACCATATACAAATTTCGGTTCTGAATCCTCCTTGTAAGCAGCAGCGCCAATGGATTATTGGTTCCCAAATGGTAAACGGAGCACAGGAAACAGGACAGTGGCTTAGGAGCTGAGACAAACTAAATCCCGGCGTCACCTTGGCTAGGTTACTTAAACCTGATTCTCGCCTTTCCCATCCACAGAATGGGGATGTGGCCCCACCTCCTTCGTAGACTATTAGAACACTTTAGAGATTATCTACGTGCCTGGCACTATTAGTTCATTAGCAACAACTGAGCCAAGCTCATTTTATGTGCACCTGGCCCCGAAGTCCTCATTCACCGCCTTAGAGTCCCCTCCTCACCGAGGTTAATGGTTAGCCCAGAACCTTCCCCACCTGCACCTCTCCTCTTTCAAACACCGCACAGCTCATCTCATCTCATCTCATCTCATCCCACCTCACCTCCCCCCGCCAAAAGGAAAACAGACGAGGCTCCGGATCGGCCACCTGCGCAGCAGCCCCGCTCCAGGGCATCTCTGCGCCCGATAGACTCCGCTGTTACTATTATTACTGTTGATGAATAACCACCTAACGGTGCGTGGGAGGGGCCGACTCCCCAGGGAGGTCTGCGGAACCCCAGCCCCGGGCAGCCCAAAGCCTCTCAGAGGCAGATTTCGGGCTAACAAGCCCAAGTACGTATACAACAGCTTTCCCGACAGGGCACAGACACGAGTTGTGAAGTTTCTAGAGTGCATTTTTCCGCGTTTCCCTGAGTCGCTCGGCAGGGGCGATGCTGCCAGCGGCTGGGGGTGTGGGCACCGGGGGCTGCGACTGGAGGGCCCCGGAAGTCCGCTGCGGGGCGGATCTGAGTCCTAGGGCGCCCACCTCCCAGCTGGGCCTGCAGGAGGGGCCCCAGGCACCGGGGCGGGGTCGCCGCCTCACTCACCGTCTGTGCTTCTCTTCGCCTCCCGGTAGCGCTCCCACAGGTAGCCCTTCATGTCCGGGGCGGTCCCGGGTGCGGTGCACAAGGGCCGAGCGGGGCCCGCACACGGCCTCCCTCGGGCCGCGGTTCCGCAGCCGCCCCGGAGAGCCGCCGCCGCCCTCGCTCTGGCCCCGCGGGCCACCGCCGCCGCTGCCATGGTCATGCCTGCTGCCCGCTGCCGCCACCGCCGCTCCGCGAGTGCTGCCGCCGGGCCCAAGCTCTGCCCGCGCTCTGCCCCACAGGCGGGCGGCTCCTGCGTCGGAACACGTGGCGGCGTGGGCCGGCCCTCCGGCCGCTGCGGGGCGGGAAGGGGGCGGGGTCGGGGGCGGGGCATGCCCAGGGCGGAGTCGCGGGGTGGGCGGGGTCCGGAGCGGTGGCGGGGCGGGGCGGGGCTGGGGGCCTCAAGCCCAGCCTGCTGCGGTCAATTCCAGGGTGGCACGGCGGTGGCCGTGTGGTGGCGCGTAGACCACAGGGATGAAATGACCAGATACGACCCCGGCGCCGCCAGCCCAGCTCCGCCGCACCTTCCTCCTGCCTTCTGGGGTTGACCCCAGCTCTGGCCGCACGGACAGGGCTCCTCCCATGCCAGTTGCTCTGGCCCAGGCCCCAGAAGGTGACCTCTCTCCGCATTAATGGCCTCTGCAGTCTGAACCTCCCCTGGATCGTGGGGCCGGTCTGGGACGTCCCCGACCCCCAGCTTAGAGCTATACAGGACCGCCCGTGAGTTGGTGGCTGGGCCGAGGCTCCACTCGTGGTCTGATGTTGGCTGGAGGATCCCAGCCCCTTAAGACCTCAGTAAGTTTGAAGGGCACTCCCGTTACACAGCCTGGAAGGCCAATACCCCGCCCTAAATTTCCACCTGGCGACAGAGGTCCTCGGGACACGGTCACCCAGCTCCTGCGCCTGCCCAAGCTAAGGGCTTAGTGCACAGGTCTTCCCTCAAACCTGCTAGGCTGCACCCATCCTGCGCCTGTGGTTCCACAAAAGCCAAATGAACAGCATCCCTACCTGACGGCAATTCTGTGTGGACAGAGTCAGACACAGCTTCTGCAGGAAGACTGATGTGGCAGAGCCAGAACCCTGCTGAGAATCGCTGGACAGCAAGGGCTTCCCAAGCTGTCCTGTGGTTACTTAATTTTGAGCAGGTGGAGTAGTGGGAATAGCCCTTAAGGCTGGCACTCTGCCAAGGAGACAATACTGCCTTGTGTGAAATGATTGGAGCACAGTTTAAGACAAACAACCCAAGGCATTAGTGTATGCTCCAGTTGTGGGATGGAGGGGTCTGGAGGTGTTTCATGGAAAAAGGTGGCATCTGGGTTAAACTACCATTTATTGAAGGCTTGCTGTGTGCAGTATCTCATGCAATCCTCTCGGTAATTCTGAAAAGCAGACACCATAATTTCTCCAATTTTACAATATAGTCATCCTTCTGTACATGCGGGGAATTGGTTCCAGAACACCTGCCCCACGCATACACAGCAAAATCTGCAGATGCTCAAGTCCTTTATATAAAATGGCTACTATTTGCATACACACATACTTCTATATATTTTAAACCATCTTGCTTACTTTAAAAAAAAAAAAAAAACAGGGTCTTGCTCTGTCACCCATGCTGGAGTGCAGTGGTATGATCACAGTGCACTGCAGCCTCCACCTCCTGTGCTTAAGCGATCCTCCCACCTCAGCCTCCTGAGTAGCTGATACTACTATGGGTGTGAAGTACAATGACTGACTAATTTTTGTATTTTTTGTAGAGACAGGAGTCTCGCCATGTTCCCCAGGCTGATCTCAAACTCCTGGACTCAAGCAATCTGCCCACCTCGGCTGCCCAAAGTGCTGGGATTACAGGCATGAGTCATTGCACCAGGCCTCAATTACTTTTCATACCCAATACAACGTAAATGCTCTGTAAATAGTTGTGATACTGTATTTTCTATTTGTATTACTTTTCATTGTTGATTTTTTTTCTAATATTTTTATCCATGGTTGCTTGAATCCACAAATGCAAACCTGCAGGTACAGAGGGATGACAGTAATGAAACTGAGGCCAAGAAAGATGAAATAACTTTCCTAAAACCACACAACTGAACCCATTCTTCCATGTGGCTTCCTAACATAGAGTATGTAGGATTTAGGTGGGTGATAGGGAAGAAAGTAGCCAATAAGTAATCTCTAACAGTTAATGGTTAATGTTTTACAAATCACTGATAAGGTGAGACAATAAAATGTTTAAAACAGATAAAATATCAAATACATGGGCTCTGGTACTTTCAACTTACATTATGGTTTTAGTTTTATTCCAAATTACACATTTTTAAATTTCTGTTTCATAAAAAGGTTTGATGATAGTAATTGTAAATTTTGTTCACATGAAAAATTAATTTATAAATTCAAAATGGATAAACTATAACAATACAAAAATAATACAATTAGAATTTTAATAACATTGCTTCTGTATATTTTTGGATATGGAACACTATGAGGTCAACATTGCTCTATTTACCATAGAAATGTGAATCACCTAAAAATTCTTCTTCTTAGGTAAAATTAGTTACAATGTTTAAGTGCCTAAATAATCATATTTCCAGACCTTGATTATTATCACTCTTGTGTGTTTTAGAAGAAAATATTCAATAAAAGAATTCTAATTAAAGACAAGTAGAAAAAACAGATGTCAAGAAGCCCATGATAAATTTTTATTATTTATTAATATCATTTGAGCTCTTCAACAATTTTGTTTCAACATGAGATCTTCTCTGCAAAAAAGACTTCTGAGACATCAAAATTTAATCTGGGCTATGAAAAAGCCACTTTTCTGATATGAGCTCAGATATGGATTCCCAAGGGTTTTTTGTGCTAAGAGGCCACAGCAGGGACAGCAGTCAATGGTGGTGATTTCACCTTCTCCACTCTCACTTTTACCTAACAAAATTCTTTGCCTTGAAAGCTTTACTAAACCATTCATTTTACCCAAAGATAAAATGTTAGAGGAATAGTCTTTCTTTGGTGCCTCCTTTCCTGAGCCATTCCATATTTCAGCATTATTTTGTGTCTTCCGTTGTATCTTTTCCTTAGCAGATTTGCAAATGATGTGTTTCTGTTTCCCTTTTCCAGAAGCACATTTTGAGTTATCTGAAATTGTCTGAGGAGCTAAGTCTGTTTTTTAGCCCTGTATAAGTTATCTGCGTTTGTGTACTTTGCAAAGCTCACTGTATTAGAACTCTGAGCACTGTGATAGCTTAATTTAAGCAAGTGCTCCCATAATGAGAAGCCATTCCTAGAACCCAAAGAATGTGACTGGCTCATACCTTGAGGCCAACATCTCCGGCTCCAGATCCACTCAATTTCTCTCAGAAGGCTGCAAAAGATAAAAATTTGACAAGATCACATATATATATATATATATATATATATATATATATAACATGAATAACCAGAAGCATATTTCTGTTTGGAACATGAAACAGAAACTCACTGCAGGATTCCATGGATTGATGAATGAGAAGATCCCAGGTGAATCACCCTTAAATCAAGTGATCTGTACAAGTAGTCTACTGCCTCAATCATGACGTGATGACAAGAGTCAGTTGCCAATAACTGACCTGCCAGATATTTGAAAATAAGAATATTAGACTTTTTATTACTCATAATTCAGACATTTAAAAGAGAAGGATAAGAAACATTTATAAAAGGTGGCATTGGAACATGACTTATTTGTAATATTCAGCCAAAAAATATTTAACTGAGTCTAATCATAAAGAAACAATCAGGCTGTGGACAGTGGCTCATGCCTGTAATCCCAGCACTTTGGAAGGCTGAGGCAGGTAGATTACTTGAGCCCAGGAGTTTAAGACCAACCTGGGCAACATGGCAAACCCCCATCTCTACAAAAAAATACAAAAATTAGCTGGGCGTGGTGGCGCATGCCTATAGTCTTAGCTATTTAGGAGACTGAGGTGGGAGGATTGCTTGAAACCAGGAGGCAGAAGTTGCAGTGAGCTGAGACTGCACCACTGCACTCCAGCCTGGGTGACAGACTGAGACCCTGTCTCAAAAAAATAGAAAGAATCAGACACATACAAATTGAAGGACATTGGGATAGGGATGGGAGGGTGAAACCTGACTTCAACTCTTCAAAATGTCAATGTCATAAAGACAAAACAAATGTACTTAATTCTAGACTAAAAGAGACAAATGCCAATACAAGATCCTCAATAGGATTCTGGATCTAAAAGTTAACAGCTATAGAGAACATTACTAGATACCTGAGGAAATTTGAATATGGACTATAATTAGATAATAGTCTTAGGTAATAAATTTCCTGCATTTGATTATTGTGGCTGTATAATCAGTGAGTACAAGGAGAACGTCCTTGTACTCCAAAGACATATGCTGAGGTACAGTATTTAGATACAAAAATATCATGTTTGCAACTAACTTTCAAATGATTCAGAAGAAAATGTATGCATGTATGTGTCTTTTGCTTGCACATGAAAGAGAGAACAGAAACGTGGTAAAATGTTAACAATTGGTAGCCAGGTGCAGTGGGTGGCTCATGCCTATAATCCCAGCACCCTGGGAGGCTGAGGAGGTAGAATTGCTTGAGCTCGGGAGTTTGAGTCCAGCCTGGGCAACATAGTGAGACCCCGTCTCTATAAAAAATAATAATAACAATTATTTAAAATTTGATGAAAATAGGTGAAGGTTATATGGTCATCCACTATACTATTCTTGAAATTTCTCTGTAGGTTTGAAATTTTTCAAAATAAAAAAATCGAGAAAAATTGTTTCCAACTGCCACAGTCAATAATTGAATTCTCCGCCGAGCACAGCAGCTCACGCCTGTAATCCCAGCACTTTGGGAAGCAGAGGCGGGCAGAGCACTTGAGGTCAGGGGTCCGAGACCAGCCTGGCCAACATGGCAAAACCCCATCTCTACTAAAAACACAAAGACTAGCCACGTGTGGTGGCATGCACCTGTAATCCCAGCTACTCAGGAGGCTAAGGCAGAAGAATCGCTTGAATCCAGGAGGCGGAGGTTGCAGTGAGCTAAGATCATGCCACTGCACTCAAGCCTGGGCAACAGAGTGAGACTCCATCTCAATAATAATAATAATAATAATTCAATTCTCTAAAATTTGTTAAAATAAAAACAATCCATTTTACAATCTAACTTGCAGATGGTATTTATTTACTCATTTTACCCATTTACAAGGCTGCTTTTAAGGGGC